CAACTATCCTTCCTCTAACAAAACCTGACAATTCGAGGGAACCTTGAGTTCTAGGCATGTTTTAGCATGGGATAATTAGTGTGCGGACCATCTTCATTTATATAGTGCTCTGTGAACACAAATTAGTTAGCATAAATCAGTTAAATGACGAAAAATTAGGTGTCTATTTACTTGTGACCACTCAGTGTATATTACTAGGCGATATCCAGTTGGTAGTGAACTAAAGACTGTGATCTTACTACTCAGTTAACGTTTCAAATTTCACTAGCTAGCCGAACGAGTTATAATGCATACATGTTCGTTCTTCACTAATTCATTAAGGTTAAACATATATCACTAACCGCTCCATAGGTATAATTTAGATAATTAAGCAAATACAATATGTGCTATTTATCAATCTACTAATTTTCCTACAGACAACGCCAGTGGAAGACGCCAACAACCTTTTTGGTGGGGATCACAATAGTGTCATCAGGAAAGGTGAGTTGGATAATCTCTTTAGGAAGCCACAAAATGTTCTATTGCTCAGCTAAAACTTCAAACACTTTTTAAGTTTTGGTTATGTAATATGATTTCTCATCGCGCTTTCATACCATTTCTTTTTAAATAAATTAAGGTTTCTTAAGTTTGTGTTAGTTTTTGTATTTCTTTGACTTAATACGCATGTAACTGTCTCTTAAGTACGTATGTTGCTTTAACATAAAATATTAACTAGATGTACTTGCGCAGGGTTCCCGAAAGTGTTCTGTTTCAAGATCAAATAAAACCAAAATTAAGAGCAACAGATATTTTCATTTCTTGCTTTTGAAGTTCATGTGTCATGCTGTGTTGTAGCCTACGGAATATATAAGTTCTCTCGTGATTCATGGCATGCGCACGTTTTACTGAGGTCACGATAGTACAAATTGAAAGGTTAAACGCCCCTTATATGACGTCATTTTAGTTTATACTGACCAGTTGACAGACAATAGTATGTATGTATAGTCGTGCGAGTGGTTAAAACAGGAAACCCCCTCCAGGCGATCTTTGCCCCCCCCCCCTTCGAGAAAATTATCACAATTACATTGTTTTGTAATTGGTACCTCAGTTTGGACGCTATTAATCGGTACAGTGATTACCATTTTTGTTACTCCTGTGTAACTATTGAAAAAGAAAATTGTGCTGTTTCACGGTATTTCACCCCTAAAATAAATTGAGTTTAAGCCAAGTTAAGCATTATTTTTCAAATTACGATGAGCAGAAATATATATCATAACATTGTAGCTGCTGGCTCAGCGGTAAGTTTGAAGGCTTGTAACTCGTAAATAGGCCCGGCATGGCCAGGTGGTTAGGGAGATCGACTCACAATCTGCTGCTCGCGGGTTCGAATCCCCGTCCCATCAAACATTCTCGCCCTTTCAGCCGTGGGGGCGTTATAAGTGACGGTCAATCCCACTATTCGTTGGTAAAAGAGTAGCCCAAGAGTTGGCGGTGGGTGGTGATGACTAGCTGCTTTCCCTCTAGTCTTACACTGCTAAATTAGGGACGGCTAGCGTAGATAGCCCTCGTGTAGCTTTGCGCGAAATTCAAAAACAAAACAAACAAACTCGTAAATTGTGAGTTTGATCTTGTGGTGTACACAGCAAAGATGATGCATTGTTTGTGTAGCTTTGCGTTTATTAAACTAAACAAACAAGCCAACAAACACAACATTATATGTAATTCATCGTTTAAAGAAAACCGTTGTTGTTCCAAATATTCACAGTGACGTGTGCTTGAAACTCGAAATTCTCTTCTTCATCGACAGGCATCAAACCCCGTAACGGTGAGAATCATAAGAGCATGTTTTTAGGAGGAGGAGCGGCATCGCCAGCCGATGTTTTCTGTTCCGTTCCGGGACGACTATCGCTTCTTAGCTCGACATCCAAGTACAAGGTGACAGTGGGTGAAATTCAACGCCGGTTGTCTCCACCGGAGTGCCTCAACGCGTCACTACTTGGAGGAGTCCTTAGACGGTGAGTGCACAACGCTGTAACAGATCATAAGTGTTTGGTTACCATATATATATATATATATATATATATATACGATTACCATGATTTAATGGCATTTTAATAAATATTTAATGAGAAACATCTATTTAAAGAACACACCAAAACTAGTTATTTAAAGAACATTTCTACATTGTCCTAAACTTTTGTTTTCCATTGTCTGTATTGTGAGAAACATCTATTTACAGAAGACACCAAAACTGGTTATTTAAAGAACATTTCTACATTGTCCTAAACTTTTGTTTTCCATTGTCTGTATTGTGAGAAACATCTATTTAAAGAAGACACCAAAATTAGTTATTTTAAGAACATTTCTACATTGTCCTAATCTTTTGTTTTCCATTGTCTGTATTGAACTAAACTTCAAAAAGCTGTAATAAAATCAATATGATATAGAAAATTTGTAGAGGACACTCATGAAGTGGCATCGTGGTAACAAATCTTTGATGGTGTTAATTATATAAACCATAACAACAAACGAATTTTAATGATTATGGACTTTAGCAGTAGAGAGTTAACCTTCTTAAATGTTATCGTTTTAAACAATAAAAACTTTATTTGTAGTCAGCTTGCCACCACAGTGTCACTAACCTCCCGTTAGATCAATCATGGTTTAAACAATTATGCTTAACGGGTTTGTCAGTATGTGTTCCGACTTAAAAAATACAAGATCGTACAAACTACTTTACCTACAGAAAGAGGTTATGAGCATATAGTTGTTGACAGAGCTTAACATAAGACGAACGAACATGTAAAATGAGATATTCTAAATTATCCCTATTAAAATCTCCTCAAATTGAATTTGTCAAATACGCCTCTTATCCCTATCATTTGTAAAAGGATTACAAAAGTTATAATATGGCGTTCGTTCCTCAAAACAAAATAGTTAATTTAAAATCACTTAAAGATACAAAAGTGAATGAATAAAAACATGGAATTTACGAAATTAGTTTAAACTACACGAAGGACAAACGAAAGGAAATTAAAAACTGTATTAAAGGGACGTGAAAAAGACATAAAGTATTCTTAGCTATTGCTGAATATTACTGAAATTATGATGGCAAATATCACTGGAAAAGCTTATTAAAACCCATAAGAAGTGCAAAAACAAAGAGTGAAGCTTGAGAAGGCGTTTCTATAATTCGAAGTAGATCAACATGTATGAATGGGGACTTCTCTATAGTCCTAAACATCATTGGTCATAAGGGTCCATTGGTTCTAATTAGGATTCATCATATTAACATATTCTGAAGTCTTCTGACTTTGTAGATAAAAAATGGATTTTTGCGTGTATAACCAAGAAAACTAAAGAGAAGGAAAAATGGCAAGTAACTGTAGTATAAAAACGCCACGTTTGTTTTGTTACCAAGTAAACACATTCAAGCAAGATTTATCCAAAAATTCTTTGAACCCATTGACTAAGCTTTGGTTCCATATGTTATCATCATGATTATCGATCTTTCAGGAATGATTAATATAATACTGATTTTACTTAGCGGGGGGAGAGTTATCTTTAAATCAGAGATGACACACAAGAGATGCATTGATTTATCTTCTTGTACTTACTTCACAGAATCGATGAAATTCCCTAAAGAAGGGTTAGAAATGTCTTTTGCTTGTTTTGTTGACAACTTGATATGGGATAACATAAAGGATACTAACCCGTTAGTCGCTTCTCTGGACTCACTAGTCACTTTTCTAGACTTTCTACTTACTACAAATCAAACTTAAATCCTTCACCCCCCACCCCCCACCCCCATGAAGAAACTAGTTGTTTTAGGACCAACGTTTCTTTCTATAAAAAGTTCTTACCTTACAGCCGTATAATCAATTTTCTGTTGGTTAATTTATATTTTTGTAATTTATTTCGTCTTTCTTTAATTTTATTTTGCAGATTTTCTGCGTTTTGAATTTTAAGTGATCTTTTTTCGTAAATAATTTTATTACCCATCCAAACACTGTTCTTCTCCCCCGCCCGTCTTTATTTTAAACAATGAACTTGCCTGTATAACCGTTGGAGTTCAAATAGGCTTAACAATACCCGTATTCACAATTCTGATGATAGTAACTTATTTAACGAAACTATAGTCAGCTCAAGTGGTTGATAATAAAAATTTTTCATTGTTCCAAAATTCGTCTCTACTACGTGAAACAGCACATGAAAAGGAAATAAAAACCATTAATCTTTAAGAGATCAACTTTAGGTAAAAATACTTATTCTAAATTATATACACAAACATATCTTATGTAGTGATAAAACAATAACACTACCTCGTGCTTGTTAGAAAAAGAGAGTGAAAATGAAAATATTGTATAAAAAATTTTGTACAGAAAGTCAAGAATTGCATATCTTGCTTTCTTTGTAGTGTTATATACGGATTTGGTGCTCTGTTTTCTGATTTGCACGCTTATTCAATACGAGCTTTTTTGTGCAACCTAAAAGATTTATTACTTTGTAATGCAGCCGTTTCATGGATGTTTGATTCTTGGTTTACTCATGTGCATCGTTCTTGATCGGTTCTTTATAATGTTCTATTGTTGAACATTAGTTTTAACGATTGCGTGATGTAACTCCTTGGACAATTCTGATAGATCAGTAGAAAATGAAAATTTTTTTTTTCTTTTTAGAAATGCAAGGCTTTTATTATCTTCCTCATCCATATAATGGTGAAAATAATAAATCTACGTTTTTTTCCATATTTTCTGAACGCAGTTTGGTGGTTATTCTTAACCATGCTTATAATTATTTCATACATTTTCCCATAAGTCTCAATTTTGGAAAACTTGATTATCAGATTTTCGTAAACGAGGTAAGATGTGCAGCAGTAAAATAAACTTTTAAAATTGGAATATATTTAAAACGCCTAAACATTACGCCCTTATACTACTGATAATAATATATATAAATGTCAGCTTACAGGTGTTTGGCTGGTGGTGGTTCATTACTTATTGTGACCTATTTTATTATTATTTTTCTTCAAGTAAGATATACACAGTTTGTGGTTGAAATAAGCAGCTTAGTTGTTTGGTCTGTCTTTGTAACATTAAAGCTTTATCTCTTACTTTCTCCAGGGCCAAATCTAAAAACGGAGGGAAGTGCCTTCGTGACAAACTGGAGAAGATTGGTCTAAATCTTCCCGCAGGAAGGCGAAAAGCAGCTAACGTCACCCTGCTGACGTCCTTAGTGGAAGGTAAGTCGATCAAACCACAGGGGGGGTGCCTGAAAATTAACATTAGTATAAGGTTGTTTTGGATTTCCAGGTCGCCAGGTGTTGTAACTAGAGTACATTTGTATTATAGTCAACTACCTAAACGTTTCAGCGTCAACAAGTAGACTAGCTTATTCGCTGTTAACTCAACTACCAATTTTCATTCACTAGTCATTTTTATTAAAGTAGAAAAGGGAACAAAAACGCGACACAACTTTAAATGTTTAGGTTTACTAATGTGTGTTGTAGTACATTATTTTCAGCATCTCAGTTTAGGAAGGCTTTGATAACTACAGATGTGATCAGTCATAACCAAGTTCGTATAGATATCACGGGTTCGAACCTGGTACTTGTTATACACCAGTTGAGTGCTCTGTAAATTAAAGAGGTTAATTAAGCAGCTCAACTGTTTGCCACTCACCATACTGGTGTATCCAAATAAAATGTTTGCCACATTTTTTTATATGATTTTTCCAAAAATTTGAAAAAAAGTTTGGTGCGGTCTTTGAAGTTATATCGTGTCCAATTTTAGGATAGTAATTTTTCTGTAACATATATATTAAAATATCCATCTAAACTGTTTTAGTTGAGTAAAAGTTTTTTGTCACATAAATGAAACAAGTACCACTAATTACTTTAGAATGTTTATCGTTTTTATGTCTGTTTTTAGTAACAGCATAAATATATCCTTACTTTTAATAGTTAATGATTGTATTGACTGTGTGAAAGGTTTTCAGAACTTCGTGTTTTAGTACCACCACAAATACACTGAGCATTTTGTAACAGGCTCTATGAATATTGTAAATATTGGTTCTATAAAATAAGATAAAACATTCTTATTCATTTCTATACAGTTCTTTAAGGGTTAAAAGAAAGTCAGTTGGAAAGTCAAATTCACGAGAAAAAATATATTAACGTCAGATAACAGAGAAAAGTCAGTATTTTATGTTTGACATGTGCTTGATATAGGCCTCTGGCCAACACTGTGACTATGGTTTTGATGTTTTTGACCAGAAATGCTCCTCATTATGGTAATATAAAGAAACAAATAAAATCAACTGATGGTAATTCATCAATTTTGTCATCATTAGAAATTCACAATGGAGAAAGGACGGCTACTGTTTTTTTATTGGCCTTTTCTCTGTAAGAAACATGAAATACTAATATGTAACGTTTTGTAATTATAACAAGTAGTGAGTTAACAGGGGTACAGATAAAAATGTTTCGAGAGAGTGCTAGCTCTACTCGCTACTGATCTAATGTATTGGATTTTAAGACGGTCCCCTAACTCAACGCACATTTCACTCTTTGAAGGATTTCGCGTCCAATAAAACTTCAGTGCTTTGTACAAGACACTTGTGTAAATCAGTATTTCAGTTTCTTATACTATATGTTCTCTGATACATGAATTGTTTTGGCTTTACTTGAAATATTTTTATTGCTATATTTAACATGTCTTCTTATTTCTTGTTTTATTCGTTAACTCATGTACATGTTTAATATTATCTTTCAGTACAAAACTAAGGCGAGAGGAAGAGAATTTGTATTCAGAATTGGAAATTTAAACTTTATTTAATTTTAATGTTAGCTCATATTTTTTTTTTTTCTACAAAATCGCACATTTTATTTGGTTATGATTCCTTTTACATGTAACATTTTCCGTGAAATTCTATTCCATACTGTGCCACATAATACTTCGAAACATTATTGTTGACTGGTGGACTGCCTATTAAAATATTCTCATCAATTAGCCATTATTTCTCTAAATGTTTATTATTATTTCCTATTATTCAGGAGAAGCGATTCACCTTGCTAGAGATTTCGGTTACGTCTGTGAAACCGAATTTCCTTCGCGTCAAGTGGCAGAATATTTGTGTCGAAACATCGCAGACCCTAATGATCTTTACCGAAGAAAGGACATTTTACTGGCCACAAAGTAAGTTTATTGTTTTGTTTTTCTGGTAGACATTATTGTCAAGACTGTTGTCAGCTCGTAGAAGTTAATAGTTCGACATGACTGACTTTTCGTTAGACATGCATCTGCAGTGGACCGTAACCGAAACGCCAGTTTATGAAGTGAATAATTGTCTGTGAAAAGTGCATATTCTGAGCTGTGAATTTCGTGTCACGGGGAATTCGGTATCCATAAAGCTTAACCTTGTAGATAACATCTATTTATCATTTACAAGAATGGCTTGAGAGCAAGTATAACTGTTCAGATGACATCAATAAGAATGATATATTCTATGTGAGCAGCTTGAGTGTAGCTGTAGCTATTGTACTGGAATACGTGTACATTATATGAGCTAAACAACAGTTTGAGTTCAATTATATTCATTCATTTTACACCTTTATATAAGATATCAAGAATAGGAGCAACTTGAGTGTAACTGTAGCTACTACGGTAACGTCTATTTACATTATAACAACTCTACAGTGGCTTGGGTGTAACTATAACCACTGTGATGACGTCTATATACATTATATGAATTGTACAGCGGCTTGAGTGCAGCTGTAGCCACCATGGTGACGTCTGTTTCCATAATGTCAGTTATATGCATAACTTGAATATAATTGTATTTTTGTGACGTTCTAATTACACTGGCTGATTATTTGAGTGTACCACATATTTATTTGTATGCATCATATGTTCTCCAAACAGGTTATTACTGTGTTTCGTAAGTTATTCTAGATATTTTTTAAAGTTTGTTAGAAAAATGCATAGAGTTGTTTTATTTAACCTCTTCGAACCAACATTAATTGTAAAGTGCGTAGAGTTGTTTTATTTAACCTCTTCGAACCAACATTAATTGTAAAGTGCGTAGAGTTGTTTTATTTAACCTCTTCGAACCAAAATTAATTGTAAAGTGCGTAGAGTTGTTTTATTTAACCTCTTCGAACCAAAATTAATTGTAAAGTGTGTAGAATTGTTTTTTATTTTATTTAACATCTTCGAACCAACATTAATTGTAAAGTGCGTAGAGTTGTTTTTTGTTTTATTTAACCTCTTCGAACCAACATTAATTGTAAAGTGTGTAGAGTTGTTTTTTGTTTTATTTAACATCTTCGAACCAAAATTAATTGTAAAGTGTGTAGAGTTGTTTTTTGTTTTATTTAACATCTTCGAACCAACATTAATTGTAAAGTGCGTAGAGTTGTTTTATTTAACCTCTTCGAACATTAATTGTTTTGGCATCTATTCAGATTGCTATCTACTTGTACATTTCTATTTGTTCATCTGTCGTATGCTATTGAGGAATATTTCATTTGAGACTTAACAGATTACATAACATGATGCACACGACGAAAGGTTATATAGATTCAGATGCGATTGATGAACCATCTTCACATAAAGACTATTGTCTACTAGTCTACGCAGGTTATCAATTCCGATTTTATGATAGTCACGTGACAACGCTGTAGCTGGAAGAACGTGTTTTTAATCCGGAGAATACTGCGGGACAAACCAGTCTACGTCCATTAATATTCGCGGGGATTCAACTGTAGTAGATTATAAATTTCGCACCTGCGTTTAAACCGGTCTAGGACGTGTTGGAAAATCAGAGTTAGACACACTGATTCTCATTACCGGTAGTCGCAGTTCCTTATCATACTGTAAAGTAAACACTGATTGTTGAGGAAAAGAAATTACAGATGTAGGTTACCAGCCCCTTTATTACATACATTCCGGATGAAATATCTTTCGTTTGTGTCCAATTACTGGTGTTGAAAACTCTTTGTTATTCTGAAGTGTGTAACTTCTTATTCTGAAACCTAGGGCGTCTCCTTGTTCAAAGCTCTTCAATAAAAGCCGTGAGATTGTTGAGTGCATGACCAATATGATATTTAAATAAAATCTAAACACTAGTCTCGTATCGACCGAAGTTCCGTAACTTGGAGTTTGGTTTATTATTTAACAATATTTTGATATTTTTCCTATTTTCTTGCTTGTTAAAGTTATTACGATTATTTTATGTGTTGTCCGTGGTATTGTTGCTTAGAGGAGTTCCGCGTGTAGGTTATACCCGCAATAACGGAAGGATCGTGAAAATGTAATTAGGTGATGAATGTCTGGTAAAGAAATAGCAAAAAATAACAGTGTCCGAATTTTATAAAGCCACACCTTACGAAGATTAAAACCAGGCTAATCTGAACATAGAATAAAACAAAGCGTGATTCTTCTCATTTGCACTAATCATATCCGACCCAACGGACCAATGAGCACGCAGAGAAGCGTAAAATTGATGACAACTAGGAAGACCAGGCATTATCAAGAAATTGACTAGAAGTAATCACTAGTGGATTTCTGCAGACGAATATTTAATGGTTAAAGTTAGAGAATACTAGGTTTAATATAAATAACGTTAAAGCAGCAAACGGGAAGAAAATCAGTTATCAAGTCAGATGAGAACTTCTTTTTTTTTTTTTTTTTAACGTGCATTGCCGCTTTATATGAAGGAGTTAACAAAGACTGGATGCTAAAGAAGCTAAAACATAACACTGATGTCTTTCTGCACCTATAATGACCTTCAAATTACATACTTGTGGTTAAGAAAGACGTTATTAAAGTTTGAGTGAAGATTTATAGAATACAAGCTATATATATATATAATGATTATACATGAGACGCGTTTTAAAAATATAAAGAAATGTCATATATGAATCATGCTCAACAAAACAATCAAATAAATGGGCTGATAAAAAAAAATATGCAAAACTTGAAAGAACCTTTGCTGCAAAAGAAACACTACATCTAAGGACCTTTCGCTCATACCTAATGATAATAGGTATACTTTTACAACCGGAAGTTTCTGGCTTTTTATTCTTTCTAAATTTTAAGTTGGAAACTTTCCTCCTCAGCGATGCGAAGTCTACAAGAAAAAAAAGCACACACACACACACACACACACACACACACACACAAAACAACACTGTAGGTGTAAAAGAAAAACATCAATC